CCAATCCCAAAGCTTGTCTTGCGTGACCACCAACACACGAGGAGGTTGACTCCACAGACTTGACATCCAGATCATCTGACGAAGCTCTGGGACCAACCTCATGAAGCAATGAAATGATGTGATCGAGTTCGTCGTTGTTTGTACTCGTACGTGCTCTGCCAGCTCCTATGAGATTAGTGCGTGGCCGGGCATATCGGAAGGCGCCATCCAAACCTGAGACATTGTCCGCTTCTGGCGGTTCGGCGTGCCAAAATCATGAGCGCGTTTGACCATTTCTCTGGCATGCAGTTGAAGCTTGATCGAGATCGAATGCTACCTGCTCAGTGGGGAGCGGTGATGTTAAGTATTTGACTTCATCCGACTGAAAGTGGATCCAACACTTTCCAAGCTGCATAAGCTGCATGAGCAACGCCAAGCGGCATGCGCAACGCCACCAAGAGAGGGGCCTGTGGAGGTGATCCGTGCGGCCGGTGAAACGTCAAAGACGGTCATGTCCGTCGGCCAGCTTATAAGAGCTTCAATTGGCCAATAATGCTCCCTCGCCGCTGTTTTGTCCTCGGTCCAGGCTGTGACAAATCTCTGGCCGACTGGTGCCTGGCTGTAGGGGCCGATTGTGCCTCACACTAGAGCGATGGATGGACCCCGGGCGGCCAAATGGGAAACTCGCCTGCTTTCTCTCCGGCCGGTCGGTGCCTGCATCCTACTGGGCTTTGGCATCTCGCTTGCAGGCAAGTGTACAAATGACCGCCAGGCGTCACGTCGCGTGGATGCGATCCGGGGGGGAAGCATCGTCTTTCAGGGCATCTTTGACTTGCCGGGGCATGTTGCCGATGACACTCCAGACCAGAGGCAGGTATGCTGGTTCTTTCACGGCTCTAGGCTCGACCGCGAATCGTGTCGAATTTCGGCCGTCGCTCCGTGCTCGCCTCGTCGAAAACAGAAGAGAAGGCTGCTTGTTGCGCGGAGGTCAGCAGATTCGGCTTTTCGTGCAGCACCCTGTCGAGCAAGGTACAGTGCGTACCTCCATCTATGGCATGACATGCTCCTACGGGAACGCAAAACGACGGCAACACTGCTTTCATTCGTCTTTGGCCTCGACAGCCCTCGGCATGATGCATCACAGGGTACGTGTTGACGTAGTTACTTGCGCTGATACCACTACTTCAGAGCATTCTGGATTTCCGATCACATTGGCAAGCAATGTCTCTCCTCGTTCATCGGATGGGTTAGGCTGTCAACGCTGCCCGTGTTTTCGACACACCATTGTACAGTGATGACCCGTTCCGGGGGCCCGCCGATCGCCCAATGTACTGTGCCTTACGCGGGAGTGCTAGACAAACATCTCGCCAGTCCTCACTTTGCCATGCAGCCATGCAGCCATGCTCGCTCGGGCGGACGGGAAGGGTGCGCCTATGGCTATGGGAACACCATAGCGGGAGCCCTAGCGACCGGAAGTGTGCCAGAGAGGGGAGGAGCGCCAGCGACGAACCAGAGACAAGGAGATAAGGGGGAGTGGAGATGACCCAAAAGGATTGGTTCACGAGAGTGGTACAGAAGGAGTTGTACGATGAATGCATATGACCCACCGGAGGGAAGGTATTAGAAGGGGGCGGCGCCCACTTCTGGGAAGGGGACAGGGCATGTTCTCTTCTTCTCTTCGTTCTTCCTGTTTTTGTGGCTTTGGAGCTACCGTTGAGGTGTTTGCATTGCGGTTCTTGAGTTGAAGATGTGTTAGACTCTCTCCCCGTGGGGCGGCATTTGTCATTGTGGACGCGAGTGGCAGTCGTGGGACTTGCAGCATTCGAATTTCGTTTACGCTACGTTGACGGTGCTTCTCGGGTTTAGGCACGTTTGTGGTGTTGTTTCTGTCATGGCGTCAGGTGAGGTCTGCGAAGGAGTGGTCAGGCATGGTGGTAGTCCTGCCGGGTCTGGGCAGTGTAGCCAGTCCGAGGTTGATTCTTCCTGTGAGGCGTGTTCTCTTTCGGGTGTGGATGGAGGTGAAGGTCGTAGTGCGGTCCGGAGACAGTATTTCCGTCGGAGGGGGTTGCAGGCGAAGCAGAAGGAGGCAGAAGCCGAGGCAGAGCGTTTGTTGTGGTCAGCACGGCGGGAGGCAGCGCTTCGTGGAGCGTCGGGCGATTGTAAGGGTGAGTGTGGTCGAATTTGTGAAGACTGTATGGTGCCCCCGTTGGAGATTGTCATACCAGGTAGTGTGACCGTCGAGAGGGTGGAGAGGTCTGGTGTACCATGTCGGCCGATGTTGAGGCGTGAGAGTTATTTTTATGAGCGGGAAGGATGCTGTAGATACTGTGGTGTGTCAAGCGTGGATTGTCGGTGCCATGAGGTACCAGGGACCTTCCTTTCGTCCGTTTTTGAGGAGAAAGAGCGTGAGTGACGAACAGTTTAGCACAAGTTTGGGTAGTTGCTTTCGTGTTGGGTTGTGTTTATGAGGTTTGTTGATAGCCGGGAGGTTGAGGAAGGTATTGAACTGCGTCGCTGTGCTCCTTGTCACGGGCTTCGCCCATACCCATTTCTGTAATGGGAAGAGAGAGGGGAGGAAGATGATTGATTTGAGGATACATGATTTTGAATAGCTTCGAGTAGTGAGATGGTAGATGAACTTTGATTGAAGGATACCGATACCTTTTCCACCTTCGTTCTGATTATGAAAGGGGGTATGGGGCGAAGCCCCGTACGAAGGAGTGAAACGACTGAGTCAAGCCCAAATGAAGTAAGGATACAGATGGAATGAAACACCGTGAGAATGTAACTTTGTATGTGATGATGTTAAGGAGCGAAAGCGACTGAGATACCAATACAAGCCAGTTATGAGGATACTGGCCATGGGGGAACGGAGTGACCGCCCGGAGGGCATGCACGAAGTGCTCATACCGAAGCGGAGCGAAGGTCATGAAGAGCCCTGAAGGAGGGACGACGTAGGGGACACGACCCCTGGGGGAGTGAACCACCACAGCGCAGCGAAGGTCGGTTTGAAGGCCATCTTAACTATGGGAGGGACGACCATATTTGGCGGGAGCCAAACCTATAATTTGTTTATAAGATGGCCCAATATGTCCTTCCTGGCCATAGTTAAGATGGCTTGGGTCACCTTCGGTTCCCCTTGGGTCATCACTCTCGTCGTACCTCCTCGGTGTGCCCTGGGCCCTTCCTTCACCTTTCGCTCCGCTTCGGTAAGGTCGCTCCGCTTACTCACTCCGTTCCTTTCCCTCCTTCCAGTCAGGTTGCCCCCATTCACTCCGTTCATTCCCATCGCTCCGCTCTGCCATGGCCAGTATCTCAACTGGCACTATTGATTGTCAATGCTCACTTCATTTACAATTTATCTGTTGCATTCCTTTTACAACAGCTGACTCAGTCGCTATGCTCCTTCGTACGGGGCTACGCCCCATACCCATTCCCAGAACTGTATAGTGGAGAGGAAAGAAGAGTCCAAAGAAACTCCAAGTGGTATCATTCCAAAAATGAGGCTATTCCCAGAACACACCTCCACTATCTTTCAAACTCACCAAATACCCTCCAAGTATCCTTCCATTCCTTTCCACAGAATATCACATGCAACACTGTAAGCCGGGGTACATACGTAATCCAATCAATCTCCCGCAAGGGATTCAAGTCTAATAATCAAAAAGGACTCACGATAGGTTCACAACGGGTCAACAATCCAAAACCTAATGGAACAGTACGCCGATCTAGACCCTACCTTCGGTAAACAGAGTCAGTACACCATATCTCAAGAAATCTCCCAACAAGGGTACACTTACGG